TAAACCCCACCCTAAAGATCAAACCCTAAACCCTAAAGCCAAGAACGCAGGCCCTAAACCCCACCCTAAACATCAAACCCTAAACCCTAAATCCTAAACCCTAGGGTTTAGGGTTTAGGGTTTACTAAGCCCCACCCTAAAGATCAAACCCAGGTTTGCCGGTAGCGAAGTCCTCAACGACAAAGACAAAGCTCGCCCACAGATGAGCATGGCCCATCAGATGCACTTATAGGAAGAGAGTTTAGGGTTGAGGGTTTAGGGTTTTAGGGTTACTTATGTTTGGGGTTTAGGATTTTTGGTTTAGGATTTAGGGTTTAGGGTTGAAGGTTTAGAGTTTAGGGTCTAGAGCTAAGAGTTTCGGACTTAGGGTGTAGGTTTTAGGGTTTGGGGTCTAGGGTCTAGGATACTCCCTTCCCCTAATTCTACGCCCCAGATAGTGGCCCCACCGCATACATGCTTCGAGCGGAGGTCTGAAATCCTGGAGGCTACTTTAACAGGTCCAGATCCAGGAATCATGATTCAGCTTAGAACCTTGAAGCCAAAATCTTGGGGAGCAACAAAAAGGCTGATAAGCGGTTTAGGGTTTAGGTTACGTCCATAATACCCCCTGTAGTAATAGCTCTGTAATATGGAATTCTCAGGTCCTTCAAATACCTACAGTAGTCCCTTGTGGTACGCATTACTGGGTGGGGATTGACCCAAGGTTTAGGTAGTGAATACTTGGACATGGGCTTCTAGTTGGCTGGGGTGGGGGGGGGGGGGACGTTTAGCGCTAGGGCAAAGTCATTACTTAGGGTTTATGCCAAGAGCTAGGCAGGATTCACTACAGTTGGTTGATTGTTTTGTTGCCCTAAACCTGGGCTCTTGTAGAACAAAATTTTGCATTTTTCTGGATACCTGGGCCCAATATCAATGAAAAAGATCTTTTGTTAGTGGTGCTTCAACAAGAACCCAGAAACCCTAAACCCCAAGGGGGTGTATGTTGTTCTGGAACTTGTAATATTTCCTAAACCCTGAACCCTAAACCCTAAACCCTAAACTCTGAACCCTAAACCCTAAACCCTGAACCCTAAACGTGTAATATTTTTTAAGCTGGGAACAGAAGGCTCTCAACTCCATACAAGGATGTACAGGGTTTAGGGTTTAGTAAGCGGGCCAAATTTAAGCGACCTCACTTGAGCCATAGTCTAAACTCCTTGAAGGGGGGTTATATAGGGGATTATATAGGGGACTAGTATAGGGCTTATTAAGGGGGATACTAGGAGTTTAGACAATGGCTCACTTGACCTCACCCTAAATGGTGGTTTACATAGGGAGTCGTACGAAACTGGCCTTCGATTGGGAACTGGAATCATTCTAAATTACCTTGGTATGGGGTTTGAGGGTACAGGGGTAGGGGTTGAGGAAATGGAGGAGCAAATGGAAATTATTATAATGGAGAATCAGATGAAACAGAAAATTGAAAATGTAATGGAAGCTAGGGTTCTATATAGGGATTAGATGCTGGCTTCCCCAAATGAAATTCACTCCTACTTCCCTTAATTCGTTCCTATCATAATTCAGGTCCTTTTTCAAACTCCCCCCCCCCGGGTTGGGGAGCAGTACTTTAGGCCAAGTCCCATGCAATATGGTCCGAAACCTGAAGCCATTTATTGTCTAAAGTAAGCCCCTATCCCAAAAAGTTTAGAGTTTAGGGTTTTAGGGCTTTAGGGTTTTAGGGTTTAGGTTTGCTTCTAAGCTAACCTCCACAAACTTACCAGTACCTTTTGGAGGGGCTGGCGCCTTATAACCTATATTAGGATTGAGGTTTAAGGCCTAAACCCCATGATCCAGCTATGCGAGCTATAATACTCTAAACTCGCTAAAAGGGGGTAATAGGGAATAATATAGGGCAACATTATACGGGTTATACAGCTCTTGCGTCGCCCATGCGTCCCCTGGTTGTCTTGAAAATTGGGGGGAGCTTCAAATACGTGGTGTGTCATCTGTTCTCCAAGAAGCTTCGTCTTAGCAGCAAGGTAGGTACACTTGACACTTTGAGGGTTCTTATATTCCCATTAGAACAAAAAGTGTACACTTTTTAGGGCCAGGCAACTCAGCAACTAGGTCGTGAATGGTTCCAGGTTGATTTTCAAGCGTACCTTCTGGTGGGCAGAATTGTTGAAGCGCGCTTTATCGGTGGGCTCCCCTTCTTTTTGCTTGATGCCTTGACATGCTGGCGCTCGAAGTCTGAGGTCTAGAAATGTGGCTCTTGCTGTGTCCTCTCCTTTTTTGTGGTAGGACCCGAAAAAGGTGGGTTCTGTGGGTCCCGGAATGGGGGAACATGTCGAACAAAAACCTTTACCCTTTACCCTATGATCCTTAGCGAGGCCCTCAAAACACGTAGAGGTTCATGAGGCTTAGTAGCAAATCATCACGTATATCTATGATACTTAGGATGCCTTCAACTGCACTTCTACAAGTTTCTCCAAGAGGTGTAGGGTCATAAAGCCGAGTTCTGAGAGGTGACTAATGCCTGTGAACCCTCAGGTAATCATCAAATACCACTACAGTCCATCAGGGCCACCCCATTTTGAGAAACTCCGCCCCGGATCTAGTCTTAGTTCACCACTAAACCCTAAAGCCTAAACCTTGAGGGGTTGCTGGATTTCCGCTCGCTAGGGCTCTCAGCACGCTTTCTGCAGCCCTGACATTGCGGGCCATGTCGGGTTTCGTTGCTGTGGTTGCCTTCGCCGCAGCACTTGCTGTGGCCAATGCCAATGCTGGAGATGAGACCTGCCAGTTACAGCACCTGGACTCCAGGGAGTAGTTCTGAGGGGGCCTATTGGCTGGTTGTCAAAATCATGGTCCCTTTTTGGGTACCCTAAATATTAGGGGCCGTATTATAGTAGGGACCCAAAAAGGGACCATAATTTTGACAACCACCCTATTCAGGGTCGTCATGTTGGTTATTGGTTGGCAATAAAAGAGTAGAACAAGAGCGAAGGCCACATGTCCCCGTGTTACGTTGGATAGCGAAAATCCGTCATGACCCATTTTCCATAATCTGGGAATTGTGGTAATTTTCTACACTTAGGGTCATGCAGGGTTTTGTGCATCAACAGTCAGTAGGGGTCAATGGGGAAGAGGATTTGCTCTTGCTACGTAGCTGGACAGGTTAACTAGCTGTGTGAGGGTGGTTCGGATTGTTGGCCCGGCACGCATCAATTTTCGAGAGTGATGGCAAGTGCTAAAGCAGGATGTCGTGAACTGCATACTACGACCTAGCCTCAACAGTAGATCCCAAGCATTGAGCCTGCTACATAGAAGCCCCAATGTACCACCTGTCGAAAAATCCCGCGTCCAATCCATGCTCGGTGTTCTTTTCCATTTTGTGTGCCACTATTCTAAATTTGCTGGCCCTTACTTGCACCCTAAACCCTCAAATATTCCTTAGAAAGCCCTCAAACGGACCAAGGGGTACCCAGTACCCGGAATAAAAATTACTGTAGAGGCCCAAATAAGCACCAATATTACAATTCCTTGTATAATTATCATAGTATATGGTACCTCAAATGGACCTCAAAAATGATATTGTACATAATTAGGCTCGACAGTAGGGTCGAGGGCTGACTGCAGACTAGTGGCCCATGGTTGGAGGTTAGGGTTTAGGGTTTGGGGTTTAGGGTTTAGGTTTGAATTTTTTCCTGAAGGCTCAAGGTTTGGAGTTTAGGGGGATCCGGTGTAGCGATATTCCCTCAGCAATGGAGAGTCAACTGGAAAAGAATATGGTCAGCGAAGTGGCAAGGGGAGTCAAAGGGGCTGAACACTAGACATTACATGGATAATATTTTGGCGGGGGTACTATGGCTTCCATTATATCCTCCCTTTTAGTGATGGTATCATATACGAAGGAACAACCTGGTTCTACCCTAAATCCTAAGCCCTAAGCTCAACAACCTTAAACCCTAAACCCTAAACCACCCAGAAAAAGCTCGTCTCATCAGTGTTGAGGCACTCATCGTCGAGGACGCTCGATGGAGGGTTGAGGGGGTCGAGATGCATGGGACGCAGCAAGGTTTGGGATTGAAGTTTAGGGTCTAGTTCAGGGTTTAGGGTTTAGGGTTTAGGGATTGAAGTTTAGGGTCTACCTGAACCCAAAAGTATGTAAAACAATAGCCCTAAACCCCTAATAATAGCCATAGAGGTCATTATTTTACATACTTTTGGGGTCCAGGTAGCACATCCGGCTGGGTAACATCCGTGTTCTGGTGATTAGGGTAATCCACCGGGGCGCGTGGGTTGCTGGGGTTTCCGCCTTACGGTATAACTAAATGTAAGTTCCTTAACAGCAACCCAATAGTAATCATATCCCCCTACCCTAAACCCTTAACCTAAACCATTACTGGGTCTGGGCCCAGTTATGCTTTCTATGGCCATCAAACTATGCTGCCTTTGATAAAGCTTGCAAATCCCCAAGCCATATGCCTTCTTCCCTACACCCCCAAGCCTACACATTATCCATCCTTTTCCAAATTAGCACCGCTGAAACTACTTTTGACGGAGATCCCGCACCACTTCGCTTTGAGTGCTGCAAGATTTCTTACATCAATCCCTAAGCCCAGAACCCTAGACCCTAAACCCTAAGCCCTAAAACCCTAGATCCCTAAGCCCTAAACCCCTAAAACCCTAGACCCCTAAACCCTAAGCCCTAAACCCTAAAACAATTGGAGTTTGGAGGCGGGCTTGGCGACTCCAGCTTCAGGGTTTGCTGTGAGTTACCGTGCAGGCAGTGATGACCAGGTGTGAAGGACTCTTCAAGTGCATGGCTGCATGCCAGGTGCTGCCATGGCCTAACTGTAGCGGCCATCTAACGCAATCACCCACCCCACGCCGTGCGAGGCGGCCAAGCCTTGGGCCGGCGAAAGGCCCTGAGCCCTTGAAAGGCCTGAAGTGGGAGGCAGGAGGCTCTGGAACCTTGGCAAAACCCTGGGACTGGGATCGGGGAAGTTCTGGAAGGGATCTGGACCCGCCAGGACCCCCCCCAGGAGGGGGGCTAAGGCGCCCACCATAGACAGGTGGGCGGTCTAGGTTTTGAGTTCAGGGTTTAGGGCTTAGGGGTTCTTAGGTTGAGGGAACTCAGGGCTTTGCAGGATGTTTAGTATTGTTTGCTCAGTACATGACGGTGCTCACATGAGCCAATCCTCAGCCCTAATCCCTGAACCCACAAAC